TTGCTATAGGAGTGCACCACAGTCGCTCGAATCTGATGCATCTTCGCTTCTTTGTGACTAAAGTTGACTATTACTCTAACCAACCACATCAACGTCAACAATTTCGTCCAAATGTTGGTGATGCTCAAGTCAAGTGTAGTAATATTTGCACACAACAAAGAAAAAAAGTAGGAAAATCTTATCTATATACAATGGTTGTGTTAGGTATATGGTCTTCAATTTCATGAAATCTTAGGGGGTGTTTGGCTTAGCTTTTCAAAGGCCAAAAGTCATTTTTGGAAAAGTTGCAAAAAGTCAGGTTTTCCCGACTTTTCCAAAAAGTTGATTTTCCTTCTATCCAAAATCCAAAAATAGCTTTTAAAAGTCTTTTGCCAAACATCTTTTACCATTGATCTTTTCCTAAAAAGACTTTTGGTCTCTCAAAAGCTAAGCCAAACACCCCCTTAGAGATAACTTTTGTTGATGTAATATTTGTAACAAAGATTAATGTATTTCCATTCCAAAAGAAGTTTTTTTTACCGTCAACTCCTTATTAAAAGCAATAATAATTTATGTTGTTAACTTTTATATTTTATTTATTTTGTTTTGTATATTGCATATATCTTATCTTTACCTACACATATAACAATTATTATCCACACATATCGAATGACACGTGTCACTAACACTTTGTATGGGCGTGCCACATAATTTGACATGTCATCGGCCACATCGTTGACAACTCAAACAATTTCTAGTACTTCTACTTACACATACTTACTAGTTTTAGCCACACATGTATGTGTAGGTATAACTTGCTCTATACTCACACATAACGAATGTGTAGGTAATGATCTATATATACAGGCATGAGCCAACATATAGTGACACTTAATTTAGGTATAGCTAAAGACAACTACCAACACATAGAGGTCTTCTAGCCACACATAACATGTGTGGGTAAACACCTAAATTTCTTGTAGTGTCTAGATGTAAAATAGAAAAACAAAACAAAACAAAACAAAACAAAGAGTTTCAGCTTAGAGGAAGAACACAAATAAAAAGTTTTAAATATGGAACAAAGTTCCAACTCAGTTCTGGAGTTCAAAAAATAAGGGTTTACCTGATATTGGATTATGAATGTCTTGCATATGAAAATGAGAGAAAAAGAAGGTATAAGGTGGCAACTCGAATAGAAAGTGGTGATGCCGAAGGAGATGGTGGTTAATGGAATTTGGTGATTTTCTTGAAGAGATGGAGAGAGGGGCAGAGAAACATAAGGTACAAATAGTGGCAAAGATAGCGATGAAGGTGAGGTTTGGTGTTGTTTTGAAGTCCGACAAACATGGAAGTCTGAACCTGAACTATAATGGCTTCCTCCAAAGTAACCGACACTACTTCGCCCACCCTTCCATTCTTCTCCTTACTCTCCATCCACCAAATTACTTCGCCCACCCTTCCATTCTTCTCCTTATTCTCCATCGATGTGGCTTAGAAGTTTTTGATGAGAGAGAAGAGGATAAATCTGATTTCTCCATACTAAATAGTTTGAGGAGGAGAGCTTAATAGTAAGCATATGAAGAAGAGTATTCATAGGGATATCATGTTCTGTTGCCATGGAGATCGAGAACATGGACAGAAAAACCAGTAGAAAAAAAAAGAGGCGTAGTTAGGATTTTTGTTTTAGAAGAAGGATCTTTTATTTGGTTGATACGATATAAGACGTATGACCCCAATTCTTTTCATATATTTTACAAAAGATTACAGGGCATATAAATACAAATAATGAGAAGATAAAAAAGGAAAATACAACAGGATAATAAAGAATAGAATCAATATAAAAAAGGGAGATTATCCGTTATCGTTGATAGAATCTCCGATCTAGGAAAGAGATTTTATTGTCGGACGCCTACATACCGAACCACCACTGATCTCCTCCCCCCGCATAACCGCCACTGAAATCCGCCGCCATTGATTATACTCTACTCATTTTGATTTTGATCTTCGTTTTCTGTTTGGATCTATTTTTAGGTTAGGATTTTTTATTCAAATCGAGTGATAGAGAATGGTGGTGAATGGTTTCTTCAAGATCTATGTTTCTTGATTTTAGGTTTTGATGACCACACATAGAAAATAAATCCAGAAAAATAGAAGGATTAGCTTATGTGACAAACCACATAAACCAATCCTATAACTTGTTAAAATAAATTACCTAAATATAACCGAACCTGCATAGTTGACTTACCACACAAGACAATAATGAATTATTTGTTTTGGAAATCTAAAGACAGTTTCAAACAACACAAATCATTTGGAAACAAGAATAATTATACATATATACATCATACATTACATTACTTACAAAAAAGATTCATGTTTACGCCAGTAGCACCACCCATTTCTTACTCCTTACTCACAAGCGACGTGGTTTATTATTTCAATCGGAGAAAAACACATTCATATCGACTGACACTTAACTTCCTTACGTTTTCTTCTTTAAGTCGAAGTTACATCACTACTTAGTGCTGCTATAGGTATCCAAGTCCTTGATCAGATCACAAAGGTAGTCCATCAGGGAAGTTGGATATGGTACACTTGTGTCAGGCTTCTCAAACTCAAACGTCCAAGTAGCCACCTCTTTATCACCTTTTTTGTCAACATTTAGTATGGTTGTAAAGGTCTCGAATAACTCATCCACTAGATCTCCTCCGATTACCTTGAACACAATTATGTGTCGTTTCAGACGGAAATCCATAACTAACTGTTTTACTGACGATCGGAAAGAAAAGTACCGACGAATTACCAGCAGACTGTTTTACCGACCGACGGATAAGTACTTTGACCAAGTTTAACTTATTTATTGAAGGAAAGTGGTTGAACAAATTTAACATTTTTATTCCTATTGATTTCCGTCTTTGATCCATCGCCAAAGTTAGGGTTTATGTTTTTGTCACTGGTTTGTCGACCACTACTAGAGTACTAGGTATTCATTCCGTGATTATCGACGATCTATTATGTCAATAAAAAATTAGGGTCCCTTCTGGTAGTGATATATATTATAGTTTTGAACTAGACAACTATTTATGATTTTCTATCCAATTTTCAAACCATAAAGACACCAGATTCTACAAAAATTATTAAACATGTACAAATGGATAAAGAGCATGATTAGGGTTTGCCCTATTACATACCATGAGTGTAGTGCCAAGAGATGACAGATCCAACGACCCCCCTATCACCATCATGCAGATCACAACCATGACCCTTATCAGGGGATATCACAACTATCTCGTTCGGGTTGTACCTAATGAGGTTGCAGATATCCTCCTTCTTACTGACCTCAACATGACCAATTAACTTTCCACATAGAGTCATCTCTCAAATTAATGTCACAACCCTAAGCCACTTGTTTACAAGATAGAGTTGATGAGTCTGTGGAAAATGTTGCCAACAACGTTGGCTTGAAATACAAATTTTTGGTTGCTTTATACAGCATTAATAGTTTGATAAACTTACTTAATATTTTTAAGACAACACTTTGTAAACGTATAACACAATAATGTAACCATTTTTTCTTGTTTTTAAGGTTGCAATTTTGTATAATAATTTATTATCTATAACCTTAAATATATAATGTCACTCACAATCCCAGTATATTATACATTCTTGCCACAAAGGAAAATGCTCTAGACCTTTACGGGTTTTAATGGTTAAATTGCAAGAAAAAAAATCAAGAGTAACATTTTTGTCAATATAACCGAAATATAGAGATTTTTTTTTTGTAGATTTCCTTTTTTTTTTCTTTTACCACAACTATAAAAGATATATTTTTTTCTTTCATCACATAAATTTTAAACTCCCATTACTTTTAAATTTTCTTTCTAATAATTATTAAACCATTGTCATTTTAAAATCACACATTTTAATAATTTGTATAAAACGCTTAATTGTTTAATTTAAATATAACATTAAATGGTTAAATTAAATCGAAATGACAGTATACTATAAAAAACACATTTTTTCTTTCATCAGATGCATTTGAAACTTTAATGACTTTTCAATTTCTTTCTAAATATAAATCAATTTCATCAAAGATGTGTACCAATATTTTTGAGTTGATGAACCGATTGATATATTGTTTGGATTAATTAATTAAGTTCATCCATATATTCCCGGTGGTGGTATGCTACATGAGGATTCTATCTTTGGAATATAGACGGGGTTTTTTCATAACATCAATTAAATATAATCTTACGAAATAATTTTAAATCATAAAGATACAAAACATGTAGAATTTATGTTTGTCAAGCAGCAAAACAAGATGGAATTGAGAAGTGACATCGTAAATATATACGAGGAAGATAATATTTCCGATGAGACAACGATTAGTTGCGTAAACATGTGTTTTATCGTGATATTAACAGAGACTTGGTCTAATTAAATAATGATATATATTAATTTGTTTGAGTTATGTGCCATATTGCATAATGTTTAGTATTTTTTTTAGTGCCTAGTTAAATAATTATATGTAATAATTTGTTTGACTTATGTCTCATGCGTGTTGCATAATGTTTAGTTTTTGTAGTCCTGCATTTTTATATTGCAACTTACTGGTTTCTTATGAGCTTAAGGCTATTTTAGTATGTTAATTTATTATTGTTGTTTTCTCTATATTATTTGTCTAGATTGATCATATATAGACAAATTATGAATAATTTGTTTTAACTGGAAATCCAAAGACAGTTTCTCACAACACAAATTATTGGGAAACGAGAATACTGATACATAAATACATCACAATATCACATTACTTCAAAGAGATTCTTGTATAAAATACTACACCGCCGGGCATGTTTCTCTCCTTATTCACCATCTAGGTATACGTACGCAGCAATTTATTCTTTCATTCAAATGAAGAAACACACATACATGCATTCAGAGACTAAAAAGAGAACCTCCCTTCATTAATTTCCTTCTTTTATTAATTAATGTAGAAGTAGAAGTAGAAGTTGCAGAACTACTTAATTAGTGCTGCCATGGGCATCCAAATCCTTGACCAGATCACAAAGGTAGTCCATCAGAGAAGTTGGATATGGTACACTCACATCAGGCTTCTCAAACTCAAAGGTCCAAGTAGCCACCTGTCCATCACCCTTTTGTTCAACATGCAATATGATTGTAAAGCTCTTGTATAGCTCCTCCACTAAATCTCCTCCGATTACCTTAAACACAGCCATGTGGTTTTTCTCATTCACTGCTTCAATTATCTGTTTACAAATTTTTCTTTTTCCCTCTTAATATTTTTCATGCAAAGATCAATGCAAAACAAATTATCGTTAGTCAGTATGTCATATATAGTTATGAACTAATGATCCATGATGCATTATGTACTATCCAAATCAATGAAATAACCAGAACTAGGATTTGGTGTATGAAGTACCATGAGTGTAGTGCCAAGAGATGACAGATCCAACGGCTCCCCTTTCACCATCATGCAGTTCACAGTCATGAACCTTATTAGGGGCTATTGCAACTATCTCATGGGGGTTGTGCCTGAAGAGATCATGGAATACATCTCCCTTCTTACTGATCTCTACATAACCAATTAACTTTCCAGATAGAGCCATCGATCTCTTATGTATTTAATGCCACAGCCCTTCAACCACTGATATAGAAGAGACAGTTTAGGAGTTTTTGTGAAAAATATGGCCGATCACAGTTGGCCTTATATACAAAACTTTGGCTATTAGTTTCTGCAAGTTCTTATCTCGCATTTAATACGGAAAACAGATATCTCATTAAATACTCACGTCACCTGTTGGTTGATAATCAAATGCGTAATTCAATGTAAAGTAATTGATGTCGTTCATGATTGAGTTGCACCACGTGAACTCGTGGTGCAACTGATAGCTTATTTTATTTCCTTATTTTTATTAGTTTATTTTAGATTTTTAGCTCTTTTTATTAGTATTGCATTGTATATTCTTTATTTTCTTTAGTATGGATCGTACCGGGTGCTTTTTATGTTGCATGAGGAATTTTGCAGGGTTTTGGAGCTTATTGCGATTGTGGATTAGAGTGAAGACAGACTTGTGGGCTCTCGAGGCGCTATTGGGCTTGGCGGATCCACCAAAGGAGATTTGGGCTTAAAAAGATAAAGGCTTGGATGAAGTGGGCTTGTGAAGATGGATCATGGATAATTAATTTTGGGTTTGGAGCATCCACATTTGAAGATAAAAGATGATTGGCTGATTTGAATTACATGGATATGGAGGGGACCAAAGGAATCTTTGGTAGTGGAAGGGTGGAGTGGTGGAATGAAGGACCAATAGCATAACAACAACATTTGCGCAGGTGGAATTTTCGTCGCGCGGGTACCCGCGCAACTGCCCAGTTTGGGCATTTTGGTCATTTAGCTCACCATAACCTTGGGGGATCAGATCTAGCAGTCCATAACTTCGATTTTACACCATTGGAGACTTGTAGGAGGCGATTTTTGAAGCTCAATACTCATTTCTCTTCATCTTTGCAAGATTTTTGGTAGCTTCTTTATGCAATTAGACTTTTGTGATTGTTGTTCTATTGCCATGAGTGGCTAAACTCTTTATATTGGTTAACTTTGGTTAAAACCTTTGAATGTTTGTGGGTTTTTGAAGGATTCATGCTAGATTATCAATTATCTTATGTTTATGGTTCTAGATCATATTTCTTATGCTTGTTTAATGCTTTGATCATGAGCTTGGCACTTGAATGAGCTATTGTTAGTTTATTTCTTTGGTTTTGCATTGAATCATTGAATTAACTTAGAACAAGGGCTTTATGATGGTAAAAATCATCTCTAGTTTATGAATCATAGCTCCTTTATGGATGTGTAAGCATTGACATCCTCTAGGAATTGGGGATTCCTTCTTTCTTAAGGCTAATTAACTTCTTGGGTTCAATTGCTTCAATTAAACCCTTGATCTTGATTAAGAGGGTGTGTTGTGGGCTTCCCCAACCTCCATACTACCTAAGAGGAATCTTGGCATATCATGCTTCATGATTGCTATAACCAATTTGGGATGAATGATAAGCTTCATGTTGAATCCTAATGATAAGCACACAAATGTTCATTGTGTTGAATTGCCTTAGTTAACCAACTCTCTCCACTTTGTGAGCATCTCACTATCTTGCTTAATTGCAAGTTTTTAGTTATTCAAGTCTTTTAGTTTTCAAGCAATCATAACACCCCCCCCCCTTTTTTAGTTTAATTGTAGTTAGTTAGTTTATTTACTATAGTTCTTTTAGATTGCATTGGTGATTGAATACAACCATTTCCCCGAGGATCGATGCCCCTTTTTACCATTATATTACGTTTTATTTGCAAACAAAGGGTGTAATTTGCTTGGTGGACTTGACATTTCCCATCAAGTTTTGGCGCCGTTGCCGGGGAAGTTGGTTATTGTTATTTGATTGTTTATGCCTAGGTCTACAAGAACCGGTGAACTACTCTACAATCCGGAAATTGAAAAAGAAGCAAAAAGGTTGAAAAAGTTAGCCAAACAAGCAAAGCAACAACAACTCGTTCAAGCTTCTTCCTTTTCTCCACTAATCAACATAGAAGATCAAGTTCATACTTCAAGTGATACCGACACCGAGCCGAGTTCTCTAATTGTTGGTCATTCCTTTGAAGACATTCCGTTTGAAAACTACATAGCCATGAATCACACTCCACCTCACAATCCCAACCCAAACAATCAAGATGCCAATACCCCACCCCAACAACCAAGACAACAACAACAAGAGCCTCTCATTGATATGCCACCTTGGAATCAAGCCCTTCCTCAAAACCAACCTAATTATCAACCACCACAACCACCAAACCAACAATTCTACCAAAACAACCAACCTCAAAACAATGTTTTTCAAGTTCAACAAGTACATTATCCTAATCAACCCAATTACCAACACCCTCCAATGTACCAAAACCCAATGTACCCCCAACAACAACCTCCTTACAACCAATACCCTAACTACCAACCTTATCCACCACCAATCTACAATCCCCAACAATACCCATACCCACCTTACCAACAACATCCTAATTACTTGCAACAAACTCCCAATTACCCCAATCCACCCAATCCCCCTCAAGAGTTGACACTTCGACAAATGATGGAGATGGATGTTACTCACACACCTCTTGGTATTGTTTATCCCGCAAACCGCCGAGGGATTGAATTGAAGTCAAGTTTCATACATCAACTCACCAAGTTCCATGGTTTGGATAGAGAAGATCCTCAAAGGCATTTGAAGTCCTTTCATATGATATGTGTTAGCATGTTGCCCGAAAATGTGACATTGGATGATTTCAAGCTAACCGCCTTCCCACTCACCTTGGAAGATAAAGCTAGAGAGTGGTTATTCAACTTACCACCGGATCTATTCACACATGGGAAGAGTTACTCAAAGCCTTCAATAGCAAGTTCTATCTCACCTCCCGAATTTCAAGCCAAAGAAGTGACATTTTGGGGATTCGTCAAGGGGAGAATGAGACTTTTCATGATTTTTGGGAGCGATTCAACAACTTATGTACAAGTTGTCCTCAACACAATATACCCGAACAACTACTTCTTCAACAATTTTATGAGGGTATGAATGAAAAAGATCGAAGGATGATTGATGCTTCAAGTGGTGGTGACATCTTCAACAAGACACCTCAAGAGATAAGATCACTTTTTGGAACCATTTCTCAAAATCAAAGGAACTTTGGGACTAGAAATGACATGAAGAGAAATTCTCCACAAGTAGTTGGTGAAGTTAGCAACACTCAACACTTGGAATCAAAGCTTTTAGATTTGGCTAATGTGCTAAGTCAAATGGTGGTGGGAAGTGGTCAACAATTGATGGTATGCGGTATTTATGCAATGACGGGGCATTATACGGATAAGTGTCCCACACTTGGAAGTGAACCGGAGGATGTGAATGCAATGGGCGGATATCAAGGTCAACCAAGACCCATGGGATTTCAAAACAATTTCAACTCAAATTGGAGGAATAACCCAAACATCCCATACCCACCAAACATTTTGATGAGACCTCAACATCCACAATACCCCTCTCAAAAACCTCCATATCCACAAACTTCTTATACCCCTCCAAATTACCAACCACATCATCAACAAGGCCAATCAAGTGGTACCCACAAATGAGCCTTCAAGAACTTGTCACTTCTCTTGCTCAAAGCCAAACCCAATTTCAACAAGAGACCAAGAACACTTTCTCAAACATTCAAGCACAAATTGGAGACTTGGCCACCGCTCTCAACAAGATGGAACAAAGGGGAAAACTTCCATCTCAAACCAAGAAGAATCCCAATGTGAGTGCCATAACTTGAGAAGTGGGAAACACTTGGAGAAAGCAACCCCAAAAGAGTTTCAAGAGAAGAAGAGGATGAGGTTATTGTTGTTGAACCTTCGAAAGTGGTAGTTCCTCCAAAGGAACTGGTTGTTCCAAACATTGAGCAACCCAAATATTCCAACAAGCCTATTAAGCCATTGGTCATACCACCACCCTTCCCTTCCCGGTTAGCCTTTTCCAAGAAGATAGAGGAAGAAAATGAATTATTTGAAACTTTTCGCAAGGTCCAAATCAACATTCCACTTTTGAATGCTATTAAGCAAATTCCAAGTTATGCAAATTCCTCAAGGATTTATGCACCAAGAAGAGGAAATTCAAAGCGAATGAAAAGATTCAAGTCAATGCAAACGTGTCTGCGGTTATCCAAAAGAAGTTACCTCCCAAATGCAAGGATCCGGGAATATTTGCTATCCCTTGTACCATTGGTGATTTACATGTTGAAAGTGTCATGTTAGACCTTGGAGCCTCAATCAATGTCATGCCATATTCGGTTTTTTCAATCTCTCAATGTTGGTCCTTTGGAAGAAACCGGAGTCATCATTCAATTAGCGGACAAGTCAAGTGTGTCTCCAAGAGGAGTGTTGGAGGATGTGTTAGTACAAGTTAATCAACTTGTTTTTCCAGCGGATTTTTATGTCATTGATATTGAAGAGACGACTCCTTCCACATCATCTATGATCCTCCCTGGAAGACCTTCCATGCATACTGGTCACACAATCATTGATGTCCATAAAGGAAAGATAACTATGGAGTTTGATGGAGAAACCATTCACTTCAACATCTTTGAAGCAATGAGGTACCCTAGCAACATTTCGCCATTGTATCGGGTTGATGTGATTGAGCCAACAAACGAGATAAGCCCTAATGTATGCACAAACAAGATACTCATGGCAGATGATTGTAAGCCTAAGAGGGAAGCTCAAAGAAGATTGAATCATCCAATGATGGAAGTGATCAAGAAGAAGATAATTAAAAGGTTCAAAAGATTCAAAGAGAAGAAAAAGGCATTTCATGACAAGCACATAACCCAAAAACAATTTATTCCGAGTCAAAAAGTTCTTCTTTATCATTCACGCTTAAAGCTATTCCCAGGAAAGTTGCGATCTCGATGGCACGGACCTTTTATTGTTATAAAAGTGTTTGATCATGGTGCGGTTGAAATTAAGAGTTTGGAAATAAATCAAATATTCAAAGTGAATGGGCACCGTTTGAAACCATTTTATGAAGG